AAACAACAAACAATCTCGATGTTAATTTTAACATTGAACACACTTTAAGTGTGTTCAATGTTAAAATGCTACACACTCACTTTAGAGTCTTTTATTCGTTTTATACACACTTCAGAATATGTTACTATCTATACTGTGTTTACAGAGTTTAACATTAAACACATTTATGTGTATTTACCGTAACACACTTTGATGTAGATATAAGACTGTATATATGAGCATATCAATGTGCTAAAGGATTTAGGGATAAAAGAATTTTAGAATTCAATTAATCGAAAATGAATGCTCGTAAGTAACCTGTGCTATTTCCGATGTAAGTTAAAGTCAAAAGCGAACTATATAGGAAGATATAACTCACAAGAAGACAGAGGATCATACAGCCAGTTCACGTAATAGTGATGTGAGACAGGAGCAGAGCAAAGAGTATTGCGGGGTTGGTAAACTGGCAGCAGAACGAGGCGGACGTGGTCCAAAAGCGGGACCGGACAAAGAGCTCGTAAACGTGTTATTCCACGCCAACGGATCTGTCAGAGCCGCTTCTCCGGGTGCGCTACGTGGAAAAGGTTCGTCCGCAAATCCAAGCGCCGACGCTATATCTACATCGACGTCAACATCAACATATAAAACTACCCCATTTCTCGCCGCCTCATCGTGGTTTGTATTCCGTCATCATTGCATTAGTATTTTCCATTATATTCAAAGAATATTGAAGATTAATAAAAATATATTCAAAAAAAAAAGAAGCATTTTTTCTTCTAGATTCAACAACAATAATAGAGACATGTGTTCCTGTTTAATCCTCGAGGGGACAACTATTTCCCCCAAACTGGTGAATTTCATGCACGATTATTTGGATCAAACATTCCAGAGGGTTACGATCTGACGCTGTACATATCGTCTCAGCAAGAAACTCTCTACCTCTTAATAAACTCACAATCGTTGGCGATCACAAGGTGCGCGGGACAATACCCAACCATGTCGATGTCATTGTGGTTGCGCGACGGGGACGTCCATTGCTAAAACTTGGTTCCCATGAGACCACAGAGTATGGTATAGTCAAGGGAAACTAGCGCCACAGGAGAAAACATTTACCAAAGTAATTAGAATTCGTATCGGTATGATCTCATGTGTGGGAATATCATTGTAAATTTGTTGTTAATTAACTTTCAACTGAGTATTTCAAATATTTTTCCAAGATTAAATTGTCTTTATTAAAGAACATATATGTTTGAAATATTCAATATTGATTTACAATAAATATTATACATTTTTGATAAATTAGATTTAATAATAATAAGTTGGAATTATTTTAATATTTATTTATCATTAAATTAACAACTTTATTAAACCATTTTTTTTTTGTGTAGATAAATATGTCAATGAATTATTGTTTTCTAATCAATTTATTCTAGTTTAAATTTTTTATCTAAAAGTAAATTATTGACTTACATTGTAAATAATATTATTTACATAGAATAAATCAATGTATGTCTTAATCATGACTAATTCGATAATGGAAGATTAAAATGAAAACAATTTTTATTAAACTTTATAATGAGAAATTAAAAAAAAAAAAAAATCCTGTATGAAGTTGGAATTTATATTATTCCATAAAGATGACTGAAAGAGAAAGAGTAAAAGACTTGTTAAGCGTTCTTTCAAACAGTTCTTTTTTTTCTCAAAAAGTTTTAGATAAAAGAATATTGAGAATTCAAATAATACATTAAAAATGAAAAAAAATCGAAAATAAATTATAGCTATCTATCATTTCTAATATATTGTTAAAGAATAGTAATAATTATTTGATAATTGTCGTTGGAAAGAATTACAACTAAAGCTAAATAAAAAAATATATTAAATATTTTCTAGCTGATGTCAAAGGTAAAAGCTTACGGGGTTCCTGCTATTGAGTCTTCATGTACAATAAGTAAACTGATGTAATCTCTGGAAACATTTAGGGGGAAAATTGGGTCGACAGTTGTAGTATATTTCCTTTTTAAGCTTAAGATAACTAAATCCACGGGTTGTCATAATATTGACTTGATTATTTTTTTCATTAACATTTTTTCATTTTATCCAAAACTTTTTACATCTCATTCGTGTCTTTGTGTGTATTTGTATAGAAAAGAAAAATAACAATGTGGAAGTAAAAAAAAAAAAGGGTGACAACCGTCGACGCCTCACGAGTCGCGACTTTTTGCTTCAGATGAAAGATGCCTATATAGGGGGTGGCATTGAAGGGTGAATATCAAGGGATTGAAGGGAGACGTGTTGCCGACAGTATATATCAAGAAAATGACTGTTTACCAACATCCAAGACTTGAAGGAAACCAAGCCTTTGGCAAAGACAAAGAATTTTATTACAAAGTGACTCGAATATTTTCATGTCATTTTTAATGTATGATAAATAAATATTTAAAAAATTTTATCTTGTTACTTGAACAGAAACAACGATTGCTTCAATCGTCACTGGAAAGTAGGCTAATACATTTAATATATTTATTCAAAGTTGAACCAGAAATAAGTCAATCTTTGCTTCTACCAAGGTATTGAGATTAGAATTTGTTTCTCATATAAAAATAACTTGAAGACAAAATTTAAGTTTCCTTTTTTGTCAAATGCGTCTTGTATATCCCTTGTGGGTGTATGTGGGAGTAAAGGAGAAGGCGTTCTGTTTGAAGAGGAAATTTCACAGTCGGATGCACCACCGATTCTGGGAGAGCAAGCCAGGCGACTGTGTCTCTCTTCTCTCCAGATACGTATCTTTAAATACTTTATCATCGAATCAATACTCTGAAACAAAAGATATAAGAAAAAAAAATAGCTCAAGAAAAAATGTACTCAGAATGGCAGCAGTGAAAGACAAAAAAGAATAAGAAGAAAAAAAAAGGTCGAGCTTTGAAGCCGAGATTTCTTAACGGAGAGAGCACCTCGCCTTGGGACTGATGTATTCCAGTTGCTTTTTTTTCTCAATCCTCAGCAGAAAACAGGAGCATTTTTGTTGCCAAGTAGTTACAGATTAATTGAATAAGAATCGTCATAAGAGCTGACGATCTTGTCGCGACGACATCGCAGTAGATCAAAAGGTTAGGAAAGAGGAAACTCACTCCCTCTCGCATACTAGCTATCCTATTACTCTTTCAGTCGAGATTTGCATGGTAGAGTTTTTAAAGAGTGTTTTTCGCGCGGCAACTCTTGAACGAGAGTAAAGAGTGACTCGTATGAAACGTACAGGGGGTGCGACGCTTTCGAGCATAAGACGTCGGCGTTCTTTACTTGAGGGTTGCCACTCGGAATTCAGAAACGATCAATGTTTAGGGATGCTCCCTGCTTCTTTTTCTTCTTCCACTTTTGCTTCTCTTTTTTCTTCTTCTTCTTCTTCTTCTTCTTCTTCTTTACCCGATCTTATTTTCATGTTCTTCATTATCATTCATATTTTTTCCCTTTTTTGTTAATATCATTTTTCTTTAAATTTTGAATAATTTTTGCCAAAAATGGATTCGAAACATTTAAGCTGTGCTCTGTATATCTGATTTATAAGTTATTACACTGATCTAAATAGCAAACCAATCAATTTGAGACCTAAACATTTCTCAAAAGGCTAAACATTCTTGCGTTTTTATGCATTATGAAGTATTTTGTTTATTTTTAAATTAGTTTTGTCAGCGATTTAATTATGGAGATGGTATATAACATCGTCTATTTTCTGTTACTTCGTATGTAGAGTCCATTCGTTTATTATGCTAATTCACAAATATATTGAAAAGTAACTCTTTAGAAATAAACAGAAACTTCGAAAAGTGACAATTGATGATAATTCAACTGAGTAACATGTAATTAAATAGAAACAAAAAGTGATCCATAATTCTACCTTCTCCTCGATGTAATTGTATTTTTGTAAAGGTTTAAGGTGCTCAATAAAAAAAAATAGCAAGCCAAAATAAAACTTGTACGTTTTGAAAACCATTGAATAAGAGAAAGGTGTATTTTTTGCAATATTTTCAAAACTATCAATATCTCATTTTGATTCAAAAAATAAGATGATTCATTTTTTGGATTAATTCAGAATATCCTTCAAAAATATTATTTTCAAGTATTCAGAATTATTTTAACTCAATTTACGACATTGAAATATTTTTTAAATACAAATATAACTTCTGATCGATTTTTCTGCATAAAATATTTGATTTTTCTTAAAAATATTATTCAACTCTGAACTCTTTTGAATAAAAATTTATGATAAAACACGTTGGAGTTGTTTTCGATCAAGTTTATTATTGAAAATAAAAACCTATGATATCCAACATATATCTTAAACTTACTGCTTGTGCAATGATATTGCTGCAACTTTAGATCATATGTAAATTTAATAAAGTTATCATGTTTGATAATTTCAGATAATATTTTTTTTTCTATTATCTTGATAAATAGATTCAATATACATAATAAATTCATCAGAAAATATTCAATTTTTCTTCTATCAGTTACATATTATGCAATTAAAAATAATCTCATGCTATTTTCATGAAATGCATTTCATTAATTAAGTAATTTTGAATAATTAAAACACATAGACCGAGCTATTCTACGAAATACTTTATTAGCTATTTATAAATATTCTTTTTTACTCTGAACAAGTACATATCAACACAGTGTTAGAAAGTAATCAATTGGATCCAAGTAATGATATTTAGAAGAATAATCAAGAGTCCTTTCTATCAATGTAAGTTGACAAAAAAAATATTTTCTATTAATGTTGAAGAATGTATAGGTATACGGTCATCTAATCGTAAAAATCGACTCGATGAACAAACAGTAACTTAACGCTACACACCCCAGTGGGCCGCACTCAGTTAGATAACTCGTCGATTTCAAGGAGTCCTGCACTCGCGGATATTCATTCAACCGGGTCATCTCGAATGTTTACTCACTTATAGATGAAAAACTCTTAGTTTTAAGGGGTAGTTTTTCGGGTGTTATAGATGATTTAAATTACTCACCTTTATGAGCCATATCGTCAGCGGTAACGGAGGCCAGTAGGCCGGTGGCGCCCGGCCATGGAGCGACCGTAGCGCTCAGTTGCTGCGAAGGCAGAATCTTTGGGCCTTTCGACTCTTCGCTTTATATTCCTACAATGAAAAGAAAACACCAAATTTCATAGTTTAATAATAACTCAATTCTGTATTCTATTACACAATCAATAACGTTTATAAATGGGGTCAAAGATAATTCATATTGAATTTGTAATACAACTGTACTAACATTTGGCTAAACCTTGCGTAAGACTGCAAGATTACATTCCGTAATAAGTTCAACGAACTTTTAATTCTCAAGTATAACTCAATTTTTCATTTGTTTATTTTTATATTTTTATCCGTCTCGTCACGTAGTTATTCTTCTTCGTTAATTAACTTAATATGTATAGTTAACTCGGCATTTTACAACAATTGGAGACTTTTATCAAGAGTAGCAATTTATTACCCTTATTCGTGTTAATCCTTATTTCCTCTATACACCATATTCGTTCTCTTGTGGAAGACGTAAAGTATAAGGGTGCTGTATAGGGTTGTAGTCCGACCAAGTGCGATAATTAGTCGCGTTGAATAACAGCTTCACTTAAAAACAAAACACATACTGGGATTCAAAAAATTGTACTGATTGAATTTTTACACGCGAAAAGAAAGTGCGAAAGAGATGAAGATTTTATTAGATCGTTGGCGTATTGTGCAAGAGGATTACCTCGGATTATGCTCGAGCGAGCGCAAACAGGATCGCGCCGACTTGTATTTACAAGACGCCAAGCTGTCGATTTAACCAACACATCCCTTTTATGTCACTCTTGTTTTTCTTTCCGTATCCTCGTATGTCGTATCAGATTGAATCGCTTCGATTAACGCGATCGTCATCTCTTCAGAGATAAATTCTGTCATGGAAATATATATTCCCCGGTGGTCTAATATCATTTATATTTACCAATCGTAAATTTAATGACAAAAAAAAAATATCTCTTATTTACAAAACCATAAAGCATAACACATCGTTAATTTGCAAATAGACCGAACCTATTACCATCTACCTGTGTAATCCGTATAATATCTAGTTATGTCGCTTTTTAAGTCATCGTTTTGTTGTACAGTTTCTTGTATACAACACCGAGAATTGGCCACCCAATCTTACATACATAAAAGCTCTACCCAACCTCGACAACTTGAGTCGAAATAAGATAAAGTACAAAGTCAGTTAAAGACAAGTCATTTTGAGTAAATAATATTCACACTTTTTTTAAACTTTATTTTATATTATTTACACGGAGAAAGGTTTATTATAAAAATTACTATAGGTCTATTGTAATTGCGGATTAGTCGAGACATCATTTAAAAATTATTATATTTTATTTTAATTATTACGATGGAATTTTATTATTTTTATTATAGATACATTTTTTAATGAAACCACCGGAATAATAATCAATTTATTATTTACAATTTTTCTAGTAAATATTTACTTCAAACAGTACTCAAATTTGTTATATTTTTAGTAATTTTTATTAAGCATTTTACGTTAATTTGTAATTGATATTATCCATCCAATGAATCTTTTCATAGCGTAAAAACTATGAAAGGGAAGGAATAGAAAATAAATATAAATTATTTATAGTATTTATCAATTTAAAATTGTTCGTGATTTATTGATAATTTTGTACAATAGGCATCGACCTATGGTGGTATTTAGTTAGAGTGAAAACTGATGAGTTAATGATATTAAATGATAAATGAATTAGTTATTGGTTTGATATAAAATACCAAGTGTTATATCGAAGTGAACTGAAAGCTCCAAAACAGATCCAAAAGATGTATCTTCACAGAAATCACTGAAGATATTATTTTTTCACTTCAATGTTCAACAATTTGCACAACAGTGTACTAAAATAAATAAACTTATAACATAAAGAACTCGTTAACTAATAACCATCACCAGATAAACCTCGCGATTTCTCGTACGGGCAAAATGTAAATATCGCGTGCGAGGATATGTCCGATGACGAGAAGACGAGAGTGTTGTTCCCGATGGTGCCGTCGGCATGAAGTCGCGTGGCGTTTTGGCGGCTAAGAAATCGCTCGCAAAATTACTCTTCTCCTTCCCATGAATGCAATGCACGAGGCCGGTTTTCTCGTTCTCCTCCCGCCTCTTTTTCGCTCTAGTATTCTATCTCGCTCGAGTTCCCAGTCTCTTCTACAGACCAAAGTAAGAGAAACAGCACCAACATAACCGGGGATGAATGCAGGGGTGGCGGGAGGTTTAACCAATCCGCTAAGTTAGAAATTTCCCCACGCATCAGGGAAGGCGGCTCGTAGTGGGGCTGCCAGCCCTCGCGACGTGATATCATCGATTCTGAATGGTGGAGATGTTCAGCCGTGCGGAAGGGACCCTCGGGGGCGCTCCGAAGGGGAAAAGGCCGCAGGCGCAAGCCGAACACTCCACACAAACTCATTTCTACTACAGATCAGACAGATGGAGACCGACTTTCGGTCTGTTTCTACTTACTCTTCGTCCCTGTCTACATTTTAATATTATCACATCATATTTTCTTCGACACATCAACAGTATCATTATAATCAATTATTGCAAAAATTTTATTAATAGGAAAAAAAAAATAAAATATATTTATATTTATTATTAAAATCAATGTATGTGGGAGGGAAAAATTATTTAAAAAATGACTAGTTATGTATGGGTTTGGTTATTAAAATATAATTGGCGTTTGTTCCTTTTGTGCAAAACGGTATCTAGTCACGCGTATGGGGATAGCAAGAAGAGTAAAGAGGGTGGCGAGACCGTATTATACACGCTAGAGTGCGCCACGGATGACTCACCCTCTTTTGCAACATCCCTTGTGTTTCTCTTTTCTCTCTTGCAGCTAAACTACCCCCTCAGCTCTGACTTATTGTTCTGAAAAGTAGTTACACTCGATTTTACGTGCAAAAGTGTAAATTTAAGAGCACTTAGGAACGTGTGCCATGTTAAGCGTACTTGATGCTTTGATACGTAAAATGGTCAAATCTTATAACTCTTAATCATTTCCAGTTTTATAACCCAATCATAAATCCTTCTAATGTATATACAATAGAATGTACTTATTTTTTTTTTAACATGTTAAAAGAATGAAATCAATATTTTTAAAATTATCAGAAAATTTTATAAAGTTCTTACGATCAAAACTGCTAGAGTCGTACACCCTCGCATTAAGAGAATGTAGAGGAATTGGGAGGAATTCACCCTCTTTTCACTCTCTCTCTCTCTCTCTCTCTCTCTCTTTCTGTCTTCTCTTCAGCGATGTGATCTGGCTTTGGGGTATCCATGCTGTGGAAGTAACGCGCTTCGATTTTGCATTAGTTCAGCAACGCGTGAATCCAGCCAAGGTCAAATCGTTACCCGTTTCTAAGCATCTTCGTAACAATCTTAGCCCATACTATACAAATTTGTCCCTCAATCTTATTCAATAAAGTTTTTTTTTTCCCCTAAAAGAATCAAAATACGAACACATTTATTATAACAATAATGTTACATTGGTTACAAATAATTTCAATTACACTTGAATCCATAATAAAATTTCGCAATTCAATATTACAGATGAAAAAAAAAAAAATTTCGCCCATGAAAAATATTTTTTTAAGATTATGTCAACGTTAGGATAACTGATTAAATAGTTAATCAACGATAAAGAATAATTGATGGTTAAGTAGGTGAGTTTACATGATCTTTTTTACGATATACAATGAAATAATGAAAGTTTGAAGAACTTAAGTCAATGAATAAATTTAGTGGGTTCAATTTCAAATAGAGTATTTAAGTTTTGACACAGGTGAAAAAGCTTGCACATATATTGACGTATCTGTGTATATGTATGTCTAAATGCAATAGAAAAGATTGAGCAGACAGTAGTTAAAGATACAAACAAATTAACAAGTAGGAGTTGCTTGTTTATTATTGGGTGGAGACATGCTAACCACGCCTTTGTCAAGTTGACTCTCCAATCGCGTCCCCCTAAATCCCCACTGTGAGTTTCAAAGCTCCCTTTACTCCGCTGTACAACCCTCAGGATATTTTCTCTCTTACTCCTTTAGTTTTGTGGTGACAGCAGTGACGTCACGCTTGAGTACAGCATGCAACAGGCGTCCTATCCAACATCGGCGTCGCAATGCTGTAAGTAAACATTTGTTAAAGGTAATTTGATCATCGTTTTACAAGTACATATTTTGAAATGTGATATATGATTTATTTATTCTTATAATGACTTTTGCAGGACTGATTAAATGGAATTAATTTATTTAGAAATAAACGCATTGTCATCAGAGGATAATTCGTTTTAGCCGTGGAGTAGACAAAAGCTGTAGTCAACGTACTCTGGTTTGTAAATTATTACAGTGAGATAGTGAGCGAGAAATTCATACTCTGATGACGCAGCGCTGGTCATGCGATGATCAAAGGTAACAGTAATGGTCCGTGAGAGGATATCCGGCCTCTATTTCGCCTAATATACTGCTACTGCTCAACTAAATGCTGACACGATAGGGTGGCTAGACACATGTCATAAATTTTCGAAGTAAACTCACCAACATTTCAAAGCCTGTTACAAATGATATTTTATCGGTTGAGTCCTGATTTGCAAAATTAAGGATCGTTTTTAATCCTCATGTATTAGTCCTCTAATAACTCATGTTTTTAATCCTTTTATCAATGCATTTTAAAATAAATACTAAAACGAGTCTTATATTCTAAATTCTTTCAGCTCAAATCTGATTGTAACGAGGATAATAAAGATAATAAAATTAAAGATAACATATCACAAAACTTCGCGTACCTGAAGGTACATATATGATACATTTTTTATGACAAAAAATTTTATCATAAGAACACTGCAAATCTGGAAACATTCAAATGTTTAGTGATAAATCACTTAAAGTATTTAAATAATTAAATGCCTAAGTGTTTACAATGTTGAACACCATATACAAACTATAGAATTTTGGTAAACGGCAAAAAGCGTTTTAAAATCGACTAAAAAGTTGCCATAGTTCGTTTATGATGTTTTACATTGCAAACACTATAAGTGTTTAGTTTTTAAACACTTGGATTTGCAGTGAAGACATTGGGATTTAAATTGTTATATGCTTAGAAAAAAAAGAAAATAAAACAAATTAAAAATAATTATCTCTCCTGAAGTGAGACATGTAATACTGTATAACTGTAATAGCTATCTACATTGCTGAAGAGCTCTTCTTCAATAGTGACTCTTGACGTTACACAGTCTTATCTTTATCTCTGATGATAGCACTGCAAATCCGGAAAAGTTCAAGTGTTTAGTGATGAATCATTTAAAGTGTTGAATAATTAAACACCGAAGTGTTTAGAATATTGAACTCCATAAATAAACTATAGCATTTTGGTAAACGGCAAGAAGTGTTCAAAAGTCGACTACAAAATTGCCATAGTTTGTTGAAGATGTTTAACGTTGTAAACACTTTAAGTGTTTAGTTGCTGAATACTTGGATTTGCAGTTAGAATTATAATATTAGCATCATTTAATAAAAATTCTATCTATTGTTATGACAGAAATTACTTGCCAAAATAGAATGATGTTATTGGTTCGAATTTTTAAACAATATTAAAAAGACGATTTTAAAATAGTTATGAAAAGTATCTTTGTAAAGCAATTATACATTTTGATCAATGTATTGTTTAATTTGTCTTGACATAAAATGCGAAGAAGTAATTAAATGTATTTTATAAACGTTCTAAGAAAAATATCTTCATTCATGTTATTTTTTTTTTTAGCAAAAAAATGTAATTAGTTTTTATCTTAAATAAATGTCATTAATGTTGATAGATGATAAAGTATTTTTTATATTCAAATTAGAATCAAATCTTATTCTTCGTGTTCAGATTAAATTTTCCAGATTTTGGGTAGAATTTTTATTACTGGCAAAAAATGCCATAGTAATATCTAAAAATTCAATTTCCTGCTTGCTCAGAGAAAAATTGTTTGTCAAATTGATTTATAAATCCGGACTAGTATTAAAATTTTTCTTAAAAATATTCCATTCTACTACAAAGCTCCATAGTTTGTGTATAGCAATTTAAAATTGAAGACAATGAGAGTGTGTTATTTTAACACACTCCAGATTTAGGATGTCAATGATTATCATAATGAAATTTAAAATAATTCTTTATATTGTAAGGGTGGAGGAAATAATCCAAAACGAAAAAACTACCTAGTTTCAAGGTAATAAAAATCAGTACTCATTTGATGAGGAAAAATTAAAAAAATTCTAGGATCAAAAATCCACGAAAATTCAAACGTAAAACTCTATAAATTTTACAATGATTTTTTTTTTGTATTAAGAATTATTGATTTTAATAAGAATGAATTCATAATCATATTCTTTTATTTCAATTGAACACTCATGATTTTATGTAAACATAAAAATATTATTTTCAGTAAACTTTTGTACATAATGGTATTTTTCAGTAACAAAATAAAATCTACTGTCAAATAATCGATCCACGAGTGACAATTGGGACATTGACTATACTGGAAATCAGATCATGATATGACAAATACACGATAGATTTGAACACGTTAGAAAATACTTCCTGATAATGTAGTTTGTGTATGAATAAATACTTTAAAGAATTACAATAAAGATTATTTGAAAGAAAATTCAATGATTTACTCTACTGTTATCTAGACAAGCTTCCAGAAAAAAAGGTTGCCAATCAATTTTACTGAAAAAACACGACATCAAAATTGATTTCAACATCAAACAAACTATTAATTCAAACTGAAAATTGCAACAATGCTTGTTACAAATAAAAAATAGATTTATTTAAATTTGCAATCGTAACAATCAAAATAATATTTGGTTTTCAAGTACAAAGAAATAATTTTCATTCTAATCAATCCAAAATTTGAATTTTTATCATTTAAGGATGAACTTTTACTGAACAATACCGTAACGTATCAGATAAACTCCGATGACACTGATGAGACAGTATTTATAGTGAACAAATAAGCAAAAAAAAAGTGCTGTCAGTCAAGTTGAGCTGATTAG